ATTTATTGTAAAAAATTCGGTCAACGATCGTGAAATACAAATACCAAAATTCGTTTTCATTCATTTATTAATCAGAATTTAGAAATTAGTATAAAATTTAAGATACAGAGATTCTTAAACTAGATTGTAGTTCTTCGTTTGCAAAGTCTACTCTTTGCAATCATTGCCAACTCAGGTCTCACCGTGTGGAGGTGCTACGTTCGAGACTCGGGCAGTGGACACTACCTACCCTACTGCCCCCTTCCCTATTAAATTGCTACTCTATTATATGAAGCGAATATGGGAGGAGATTTTATACAATTACGAACAGGACTTTAACTACTAACTCTAATTTAAAGCTAAGCTAAGCAGAAAATATCAGATTATGCACTGGGTAGCCAAAGTTCGGGTCGAGCAGGGCTCTGCACAAGGATGATCATGCCTTTGCGTAGGAGTGCTCTGACCACAACCATCCCGTCTTACCGTCGACCAGGTCCGGTCCGACCTTACTGCACATGTTCATGGAACAGAAACAATCCCACGACTAGCGAGCCAGGTCATCCAGGTACAGGACCCAAGGTCTGGTCAATCGCTTGACCAGAACCGCAGTTTCTACTCATGATACCTAATTGTAAGCAAAATGTGACAAATAAAGTACTATTTGCGGCGTGGGTATACTAAATGCGAGCAGAATTAAAAGAAACGAGAAAAGGATTTTACTCTTGGTAGTTCTTCGCTTGGTTCCAAATTCGAGAACATCCACTCACACGAGTGTAATCATTTCACAATTCAAGACGAGGCAAGCAGGTAACACACGCCTTGGTAACACCCGCGTTTACGGTAGCTGGAGTTGTTCGCTGACAGCTTGCAAACAGTTCGTTAGATCACATACACTTTGTGTTTGGGGATGGATCCTTTGATGCACCGCTTTGCGAGCGAACGTTGTTCACTAAAACGTCCATATTTCCAGCGATCATACTTATTATTAGCGAACTGTTCGTGAACTGTCAGTGATGTAGGCACAGCATAAGAGTCTCAAGGAGATATTTAGCGAGACGTCTCGACGAGAGTATGTTATTGGCATATCCAACGGCAATTTTCATATTATTTCATCAATAAATTAAAGAAAGTGATCATGATACTACGAAATCTAGTAATGTATTATAAAAATAGATGAATTGTGATTAACAAATGAACAGAAACAGATCCTGGTATTTTAATTTAAGAATCCCTAAGTAAATAATCAATCCTGGGGGTGGCTATATAAAATCAATGGTCAGCTTCTTTTAAATCATCCGCATGATCTTACACGACTATCGATAAATACAGATGGAGCAAATATTCATAAATCTTTCGATTAGGTTGCACATCCACTATCCAGTGCTCTATAGAGATCAGTGACAAGAGTCCATAAGGTGAAAGGTCTACTCCGTGTACCTACCACCGAGGAGATCTCTGCTCGATGTACCTAGTCTGTGCTGATAGTATCTCCTAAGTTAAATGCTCGAGCGCGGATAAAGCTGGTCGGTAAACGATATCAGAGCTGGTAATGTCGGAATCAAGGATATTTTTGTAACAGAAAAGCAGGAACAGCAGAAGCTACTTCCACCGTGATTGGGCATAAGCCAGTATAATTTGTTTCTTGCGAAGCTTCAATCCTGGAATGTTATATTAATTAATATCAATCTGATAAAGAAATCGTAGGGACATGAAATATTACATATAGCCGTAACAACATGAGAATAATAATAAAATAACACGTGAAATTGAATGCATATGCATTTATTTACAATATATGTAATTATAAACATCGTAACATTGGAATAACAGTAATAATACTTATAAAATTGGTCATCGGATCGATGGGTCATTTATTCTTTGGAGGTCGTACTCGATACGTTAACAAATATGTTCCATCAATGAAAAACGAGTTATAAGAAATTTGTGCATTAGATCTGTTGTTGCTTGTTTTTATGTATACGCATGTATCTATAATTATTTAACACGTTCAATTCAGTTATAAATTTCCTTATTTTCCATTTTCGCATTTATGTCTGTTTTAGGTTCGTTTCTATCAAAGTGTAAATTCTAAAATGTGATATGTACTATCCTCCCTATAAATGATTTTCAGAATCTACTTTACGATGAAGTTAACCCTGTGTATTGTGCATAATTTAGTCCTTTTCGATTCAGTTTGTGATCTCTGATGAAGATGATAAATCGACAATAAAATGAATCATTTCTCTGCGCATCTGTACATTACTCATCAGTTTCTGTATGTGTAAGTATTTTTACTTATTAATTAATTATTCACAAATATAATTGACGCCTAAAACGTATAAGTTGAGAAATGTTTAACAGTATTCGTCTCATATTAGTAATAATACATTCCATAACAACAGAGATATGTTATTTCTATATTTGACGAAATTTAAAACTGGAATTGCTCACGATGATCTGATTGAATAGTTACACGATCTCTCGCAAGTTTTTATTTAATTCACAGTGGCTGTAAAAAATAGTTCCACTAATATAACAAATATGTATTAGTAATAATGAGTACATTTAATTCTAATAGTTTTTAAGAACAATCTTTCGTAACATGAGAAGGTTTTCCAATAGAGAATACATATAACATATGTGAATACTTTTTATAGCCACTGTATATTTTAATTCGATACATACTTTCGTAGTCTATCTGTTAAGGACGGATTTTAGAAATCGGAAAGTCCGTCGTTTCTGTTTAGGACGGAGGCGTGGTGCTATCAGATCGCAATTGCGAGGGCGCGGCCTCGCTGTACGCGATATCGAACACGCTTTTCTTCTCTAGCAGCTGTTGGTGCCGTAACCTGTTGCCACCTTGTAACGAAACCGCGATTCCGGAATCGAAATCCTCATCGGTACGACCGCGTTCCATCGTCTGAGGGATCTCGAAATGTTGCGGGGACAATTGCGGCGAGGGGTGCGGTGCCGGCGGTGGGTGAAGATAAAATGGTACCGGTGTCTTCTCGTATTTGTACTCGGAATGCTGCACCAAATGATGTTTCGAATCTGTCTGCGGCAAGGCGGGCGGCGTCGTCGCGAATATTTGAACTGGCGGGTCTTCGTTCTTGCCTCCCTCGGCCCTCCTCAATTTTCTGCCTTGTCGAACTATAGCCTTCAACTGTTCGGACTCGACGTTCACTAAGGGTTTCACTTTACGTCTCGTTCGCGGAGTCGTGTCAGTCTTATCGGTCGTCGACTTCTTGTCCTCCGCCTCCCTTTGGCTTCTCATACTTCGTCGAAGCCATCGCGGCAGCTGCTCCTCGTCATCCGTCGCCATCAATTCCGCCCTCTTTCTCTCCATCTCTTCTCGATTCTTCTTGTACCATGCCATGTACTTTGGCTGCGCTCTGCTCGTATCGATCTCCCCTGTTTTTGGTGGTGTCGGATGCTTCTCGCCACTGCTAGATGACTTTTTATCTTTGTCAACCCTCAGCCTCGATATTTGCCTCCGCTGCGATTCGTCTTCCACTTTCCTCGATTGCTTCGTTAAGTCCTTATCTTTTTGCGTCGATTGGTCCTGCGAGGGTTTCTTGCGCGCTCGATACCTAAATTGGCTCGTAGTTGGCTCCTGATGATGAGCTTTCTCTTCTGAAGATTCCTCAGAAGAACCTTTCTTCGTTCTCTGGGAAAATATTCTCTTTTTCTGTACTTCTTTCGTTTTCCTCCCAAACACTTTTGAGGTTCCAGCTTTAGGGGGTTTAGATATTGAGGGTGTCCCTTGAGTATCGCTCGTCTTTGTATCTTTCAGATCTTTAGCGCGTCTTGAAGTTTCCTTGTCAGTTTCTGAAACTGAGGATTTTTTATCAATTGGATCATGTTTCAACTTTTCTCGTTTAATCTGTTGTGTACCATCTGTACAAGCTGGTATTATTTTTCCATCACGAAAGGGTGATTGTATTTGCATAAAAGCTCTATCCTCTTCACTGAATTCATCTTTATCTTTAACTGATTCAATTGTTTCCATTGACGACTCGACACTTGTATCGTGATCTTTGCCAATTATTTCTCCCTCTGTCGTTTCCGTGGTTTCATCTTCTGCCAACTTCATTGTTAACCTCGTATCTTCTTCTTCCGCGCTCTGAGTTTCAATTATCTCTACCGCTTCATTGCCTTCTCTGTCAGAAAATTGTCGAACCCTATGGCGAGGTGTGTGATACGGTCTGGTTGTCAACGTTGTCTTCCTGGAAACATCACTCGATGAATCGCTATCCTCAGAATCATCCATTGTATCTATTATACTTGTAAAATGTGGGAGGCTTACGTCTGCGTATTCTTCTACAGGTTCCTCCCTTTCGACTTCCGCTGGAGATACAGTTCTGTCAATTTTCTTCTCGGTTATCTGTACCTGCCCCGCCATTTCGTCTCTAACAGTCATCGGTTCCACATCCTTCCCACATTGTTCTTTCAGGACTGGTTTAATTTGATCCCCTTTCACAGAGAAAGTTTCTCCGTCTACGAATTGCTCCGCTCCCTGCGATTCAGTTCTCTCGCTGGCTGACTTCGACCGCTTTTCTAATTCGGATATTTCCGTGGAACCCATTCGAGTAATAAAATCGAACGCAAACTTCTCCTTCTCTGTCCCGCCAGACGTCTGCGAACATGTTTCAAGCGATCCGTTTCCCTTAAAACTGCCGCTCGCTTTATCCGGCTCCTCCTTCTCAGTAGTTTGTGCCAGTTTCTCGTCTGTCGTTTCATTATCCGGAACATCCCTGAATTCCGTGCTCGCTTCGAGTGTCTCCTCCAACAATTTTTCCGCCGTTGTCTTCGTTTTTTCCTCTGTCGCCTCTGGTAACGACGTCGTTGGATCTTTCAATGGTTTGTCAATTTCCTTTTTGTCTGTAGATTCTTCCAATGTTAAATGACTTATTTCATCTTTTAACAATCCATCGGTTTCTTTACCTTCCCCTGATTCCTCCCTCTTTAATTCTGTAGGAATATCGATTTTCTCAGCCGCGTCAAGGTCTGTTACGAGTTTATCATCGGTAGGAATTGTGTCTTTTCTGATATCGTCTTTCATTATTTTATCATCTGTCTGCTGTTCTACAACTTGTGATGATTTTTGATACTCTCGTGAAGTCAGAGATTCAACAGTATCAGTTATAGAAATTTCTGCTCCACTCTTATCTTTCTCGCCAGAGGGTAACTGAGTCAAATCCTTTTCTAGAATTTTATCGCCTGTAGGTGGGTGTTTAATATCAATTTCTGTTTCGGTACTTACTTGAATCGATTCTTTACCATTTACTAATTTTTCTTCTAAGGAATCGCTCGGATCTTTATCTGGAGAAGTAGTATCTTTTTCGATAATGTGGTCATCAACTGTTAATGGGTGGATTTTCTTTTCCATATCATCAGCAGTAGAAGTGGGAATTTTTGTAACATCAGTTCCATTGCTACCTTCTTTTTGAGTAATCAATATCTTTGATGAATCTTTTTCAATTTCTTCATCCTTATCAGTACGACTTATTTTTATAGGAATATCTTCTTGAATTTTTAATTGTTTTCCAATTCCTGAGGTTCCTGGAATAATTTTAATTTCATCAGTTTTTGGTATTTTTGCAACTTCTTCACTTATTTTACGATCAGCTTCTTGTTTTTCTTTAATTATTTTCAGATCTGTATCTTTTTTTTGTTCCTCTTTTTCTTTAACTTCAGAATCATCTGTACCAGAACGTAAAATTCCTTCACTATCAGTGAAAATAGTTTTTTCTATACTCATTTTGTAATCTTCTCCAGATAGAGCTTCTTCTCTGTCAGCAGGAATACTTTTTTTATCCCCATCAGATTTTTGATCGTCGGATATAGCATTTGTTCGTTCTGTTTCGTGTTCATCACTTTTAATTTCAGTAATCGTTACGCCTTCATCAATGCTTTTTTCTTTATCTAAAAAAATAGTTTCTGTATCACTCTTGTCAACAGCCACTGAAATATCTTTTTGCTTATCAGATACTGTTTTGTCCGGAGTAAAATGAATAGCTTCGGTGCGTTTAGCTAATTTATCAATAATTCCAAATTCCTCTGTTGCCTCTTTCAGAGCTTCATAATCTTTAGCCATTTTGTCGTCTTTATAATCTTTAGCTTCTTCCTTAAATTCTCGATCCTCAGCCTCTTGTATAGTAATTTTATGATCTTCAGTTGTGTCTTTTATAATAGCCTCTGCTTTATCACTAATTTGTTCAATTTTTGAAATATCTTGCAGCTTATCAAATTTCTTGTCTTCGTCCAAAAAAATATTATCTTCAACTTGAGATTCATCCTTAATTTTTGACGTAACTTCTTCAATCGCACTTTGGTCAATAATCGTTTTTTCCTGTTCATCAGTCACGTGTTTTATGTCTTCCTTTTCTTTTTCGACAATATCTTTTCTCTCTGTTTCATCAATTCCAAAACTTCCATCTTCTTTTTTATCACTCAATTTTCTCGTTATAACTTGTTTTAATTTATCTTTATCACTTGATGTTTCACTTTCTGTGTCTTTTTCAGTGGATTCTTTAACTGTTTTTACCAAATCGACTTTTCCATTACTTCGTTGTTCCACTGATGCTTGCAATTCTAATTCGCCTGTTTCGAATTTAATTTTATCTTCGTCTTCAATACCTTGAATTTCCTTGCCTGTATCAATATCTTCACTTTTCAATTTTTTTGCCATTTTACCATCTAATTCTTCAATCCCTAGCTTTTGCTTTTCTACTTTCTCTGCATGGTCAGATTTAATTTGCTTCTCAATTTCAATTTGCTTCTTAAAGTCATCAATTTCTGATTTATCTGTTTCGTCTGCTATTTTATATTTTTCTGCTTTCGTTTTAACTTCATCATCAGGATCTGCATCTTTGACATCAATTGGTTTTCCTTCCTTCTGCATTTTTTTAGATTCCATTTTGGTTGATGTAATTGTGTCAGTTTTTAAATCACGTTCCGAGTCTTTGTCAATTAATTCTTTTTCCATAGTCGAAACTAAACCTACAATCATCTGATCTTTAATTAATTGTTGCATACCTTCACGGACCGTACTTCCTCCCATCGTTTCCTCTGCACTTACATGTTCCTCAGGCCTTGTAGGTTTCTCAACAGAGTCCTTAATTTTTTCGAATCCATTTTCTGACAATTGCATTGCTTCAGCTTTCTCACTAGCAATGAATTGTTCTGTCACAACTTTTGCCGTTTGATCTTCTCCCATAGTAGACTTCACCTTCTGGTCTGCAGTCTCTTTCTGCGGTTCCTCAACAAAATCATCGCTAAACCTCTGAATCACTTTCTTTATCAAGGTCTTCCCCTTGCGCCCGTACGTACCATTCGTGTCCGAGAAGTCTGTGCTACTCTTCTTGCCGAAATCCGCTCTAGTAGTTATGTTTCTCTCGTCTTTTTTTTCTTCTGTACTGGTACTCGTCTCGTCCACATGTTGTTTACGGGATATGGCAGCCAATTTCGGAGCACGTGTCGTCATTTTCCCCTTTTCATACTTCGGATCGCCCTTCGACGTTTCCTTCTTCTTTTCACTGCTCTCGTCTCGACATTCGGCCACTTGTTTTTTAAGTTCTCGCCGATCTATCAAACGTCTTACTTTCGCGTGTCCTTGGGTACTCGTTAATTGCTTTGGTCTCATAGTTTCTTGGCGGGGCCCACTTAACTTCTTTGGTTTATCAAAAGCGTCGTCGTACTCCGAACTTCCCGTGCTCATGACCTGAGACTGTTGATACTTCAGTTTCTGCTTTGTTTTAGCTATAGCCGACTCTTTTTTCAATTTCTCTTTCTTATCAACTTTCGCCGCGGTGATATCGGAAGCTAGTTTCTGACAACTCGCAGCGTCCGGCTTCCTCGAACTTTTCTGATCCGAGTCCCGTTTCACCTCCTTCGAATACGAATCCGATTTCTCTTGACTGGTACTGTCACTGCCTGTGCTTTCTTGAAATTTCTTCTCGCCCAATTTGCTCAGTTTCTTCGTGAGCATCGTAAACTCCTTTTCCAGTATTCGGAAACTCGGTTTTATCATTCCATCCGACTTCTGTTGTGTCTTCGACTTCGTCTCCTTTCTTGGAGTCTTCACCGCCTTCTCGTGTTTCTCGCGTTGAACTTTCATTTCCGGCGAAGTAGTGGACTCGGTCGCGTTCAGTTTCTGATCGTCCATCACGTCGCCGCAACTTTTCTGCCGTTTCTCCTTCCGCGCTTCCTCGGAAGACTGCGAGCCGCTCTCCTTCTCATTCAATACCTTGTAGCTGATACTCGTTTGTTCAGTCGATTTCCGATACCTCCGCATGGTTTCCTCTTCGTCTCCCTTGCAAGAACTCCCATTCCCGTCCAAAGAGTCCGAGATTTCCCTGAGCACTTCAGGCTCCAAGGGGATCCTCCCCTCTTTTACCTCCCTCACTTTTTTCCTCAGAATGTTCAATCGCTTGTCGAAACAAGGACTACCTTCTTCCTCGATCGGTGATTTCATCCAGAGCGTGCGAGATTTCCTCCAGTCACCGTCCGCGTATTTTTTCCTGGATTTCAGTTTCCTCCTGTATCTGGACTCCTCGTCCGATTCGTCGTTATCGCTCCTGCTCTTGATGTGTCGGTCTGTTTGCGTAGCCGCAGTCTTGTCAGTCTGAGTAGCGATGGCCACTTGCCCAGGAAGGCTCTGAGTCTCCAGATAACTCGCGGAGTCCATCGCCGCGCCAGCACCCGCGCGACGGCTCTCCCTTTCCAGCAATAATCGAGTCAACAACGCGTTCTGTCTCGCCAATTCCAAATCGTGAAGATACTGTGTCCCGCTCTCTTTAGTGGCGATCGGAGGTTTCTCAGTGACTATCGTAGCTGCTTCCTGCTTCTCCTGCCTCAATGATTCTCTGTCCATCTTCTGCGATCCGTAATCACCGTGATCGATTACCAGCCTCTGAACGTTCGGTCCTATCTCCTCGATATGTTGCCTGTGACCTAAGTCCAGTCTGTCAGGGATTAAAATGATCTCCGGCGGCTGCTGTTGGCAAACCTCCTTCGGCCGCTGATGCGACTCCATGCTACGAGCTGCTTCGATGTCCTGCATCGATAACTCGTGTCTCGAGTTTTGGTCCTCTATAAATCTTTGCAGAATTATGTCCTTGCCGTCTACTATAAGCGTTGGCCGGTGGTGATGGTGAGGGTGGCTCGTGTCCTCTACTTGGCCTCGAGTCACCAGTCTCAGCACTTCAGCGTTCCCTTCGCGGTAAAAGTGCTGTTCTCTCACTGTTTCTCCGTTCATGTCATGTTCCATGAATCTAAAGACAGATTCTTTGTAATCTCTTATAAATCATTCACTTAATTCTGTATTTAAATAATACTTGTTATACAATTAATATTCATACCTTTGTCTGTAACCTTGGTGTTGTAAATCCGATCCCCTTTCCATCTCATGTCTCTGCAACGAATCCAGTTCTGCCGTTCCATAAGCTCTCGCCTTACGATTCTCCATATCCTCCATGTATATTCTCTCCTGCTCGTTCACTCTGCTCCTTCGGTCGTAAGCAGGGTCGTCTCTGAGCCTCTGGGTTTCAATGTTCATTTGAACTTCGTTCGGTTGACCGGAGATATGTGCGACGTCACCAGGAAGAGAACAGTTCTTCACGTTCCTCTTATTAAACTGCCAGTGCCTCGGATCGGCGCTCCACGCTTGCTTCCTTCCATTCCACGACACTTAAACATAACGCGTCATTATAGCGATAGTGACAATGCGACAGTTGTATTAACAATTCAATACAATTTACTTAAGAACCGGACTTGTAGCATTCCGAAATTAATTACCTTCAGCAGCTACTGCGGGTTGCCGATGGAGATGTCGTTTCGGCCTTCCATCAGCTCGTACGACTAACGTCTCCGATGAATGCACTCGTCTTTTCCTTGGAGCCATGTAAAACGGACAGCCGGGACATATGCAGCAGATAATTAATGCGGCAATTGCCATAAGCATGAGTAAACCCAAAATGATCAGTAGCCAAAATAGTAATTTATTTTCTGCTTTGTACACCGTCTAAAACATATTTTTACCCGAATAATTCATTTTTAATCGTAATTGAAGGTAATTTTTTTCTCGTTTATGCATACTTACTACTTCCTCGTTTTGAACAGTGGTAATGGTATTGTTAATAACAGTTGCCTGACCGTCGTTCGCGTGACGGGTAGTCCCATCAACCGGTGGTTTCGTATTATCAACGTGCGTCGCATTCATGATCGTCTCCGTCCCGGCGATGATTCCTACCCCATTAGCGGCTAACGTTTCACGTATTTTCTCTACGTCTACCAAAGGCGCGCCTGCCTCTATTTGCTCGACACGAGCTACAATAATGCTCCTAAAGTAGCACATTTTAATCTTTTTCACGGCTGATCGCATACAGAAACGAGGAACATAAAATACTAAATGAAACAAAAACGAATGGACAATTGAAATATAATTTACTAAGTGTTGTAAATTAATAAAATTATTAATAGACGTGTATCACTAACTTTTTCCCTCCTGGGGGTAGAGAACCAGGACTTCCGGTGTAATTCTGTTGGACGTACGGTCTAGTTTCTAATACTGTAACTCGGCCGCCAGTTATGGCAGCCAAAGCTGCAGCAGTCTTCGACGAATCTGGTTGCTCTCCTTGCACTACGAACATCATTATGCGAGCCTCCATCGCGATTCCAGTGATGATCATGATCTTCGTGACACTCGAGAGATGAGGCACACCTAGTTTTTAGATTTTCACTGTATAAGAGGAATGAACGTAACAGAGTAAACAGCTTTATTTTAGTTTACCTAAGTCGTATGCTCTGGCAGTGAGAGTGTATAACGCATCATCGTTAGCCCGTCTTCTTCTTTTCTTTATCGGTTCAATCATAATATCTTCAGTGGAATTCTCGAAATTAGTCTTAGTGTGGGCACTCGTTGACGATTCAGTTTTATTTGCATGAGGAATGGATTTTGATATACTCCCGTGATCTTTAATAAATTCTACTCCAGATTTCTTCGACTTCTCGAATGCGCTCTGCTTCTTTCGTCTAATCTTCGTAATTGGCGAACGTAGAATTAGTTCGCCACTTGTTTCGTTCAGATAGAATTTGTTTTCATAATTGCCATGAATTAACTCGTACCTAACTACGTTATTAGGTGCCTCTGCGTCGTTATCAACAGCCTGTGAATAAATATAGAAATATAAAATTGTTGAAAATGGTATTTTTTTGTTTAAAGAGATTAGATTAGTCATCAGTCAATAATTTATTAATAAATTTCATAAGATTATGAACGTACCTTTATGAAAGCCGGTGATGTGAAATTAGTCAGGTCAGAGTTCAACATAAATTCGTACACTTCCTTCTCGAATACAGGCGCGTTATCGTTGACGTCAAGCAGATTGACTATTAAAGGAACGACGCCTCTGTTACCGTTGCCGTTTTCGTCTCGGGCTTCGACGGATAAAACGAGTCTTGCTGCAATTTCACGGTCCAGCGAGGAACCCATGGCAACGGTTATTAATCCTGTGTCAGGATCCATAGTGAATGCTTCGCTCCCTTCACCTGTTATGCTAGTGTACCGAACACTGCCATAAATTCCTGTATCCTTATCCGTCGCATGGACCTATTATTATAAAATATATATGTCAAATATATATATTTATAATTTATATAATGCAATACACGTGTTACAGATGTTACATAATATTTTCTTAATCGTAAACGATTTTATGATCAAAAATATTTTACCTGAACCACGCGAGAACCTGCAGTGACGTTCTCAGACAGTGTAACTTCGTACGATTCTTCTTCGAACACCGGCGGATTGTCGTTAACATCCCTTAAAAAAATCGTAACTGGCACCCAGGTTGACAAATTCGTTGCTGGCCCAACTTCTTGAGCTACAATCTGTGTTTCATAAAGTTTTTACCGAGGAATGAAATATTAAAGACGTTCGTAATTTTTTAGTACCTTGAAGGACAAATCTTTATGTAACTCGTAATCGATAAGCGCGTTGTCTCGAACTGTTATGACAAAGTCTGCTGTCCGTTCCGCGACCGTCGGATTTATCTCGAAAGTATTGTTGTTGTTTTCCAGTTTCAATGCGAATACTCCCGCTTTCCCGATATCTTCGTCCCTCACTCTGGTCGTGTATTGCTCGCCAAAGTTGATCACAGTTCCTGGTTCAGGATTTTCATCTATCGTTGCGACGTAACTGCAAGAGAAATTTGAATTGATCTTAATCATACAATAAAATTATTATGGAAGTCATTGTTGTATAGCAGAATTGATTATTATATATTTAATTATTATAATGAAAAGAAGAGGGGCATGTATTTAAAATTTTTGTTAAAAGGAAAAATGACTCATGTTTCAGGTACCAACTTATCGCTCTCGAAGTACGGTGGACTGATCCCGGGTTCTCCGAGAAGGAATCCAACGTCGACGACTGTTGCTTGAGCAGGAGGCTCGTCTCTACTTCTTCTAATTTCTTCGGCAACCACAGTAAGTACGACGGGAGCTCCAACGTGAGTAATTTGCGTGAGCTCCTCTAACGGTCTAGCAAGAGTGATTTCACCTATCAATTAAATAAAACTTTAAATGAAATAAAAATTATTAGCATAATGAGAATTATTTCTTACACGTCGCTATGATAAATATAATTTATTTTAAATTTTTATATTTGATAGGTATTGTATTTTTCTCTGTGTATTTGTGCTTCTTGGAGGAATTTTGAATGTTTGAACTATACTCGGTGCTGGTTATCGAATTAGATTTATATTATGAGTCATGAATAAAACATTTCGGTCAATGATCCTTATTACTTATGTATGACTTATCGAGCACGCATGTCTGGCGGTAGAAATTTTCCATAACATATCACGAGGTGAAATTTGACGAAAGAAATTGCCCTCATTAATATGCATCGTTTACTGGATATGTTTCTGTTCTTATCACATATTCTTCGTTACCTATGCTCATATTTCCTTACTTTCATTTGTTTTATATTATTTGTAACATGAAGGCTATGCATTACTTCGTAGTCATTTTACTAGTGAAAAACAATTGATTTATATTCTTTATGTTTGTAATTATATCAATTGACAATCTCATATTTTATCAATCTCGTGTTTCAGACAAGTATCTGATAACGAAAATATATTTTACGCGGTTAATCTTTACAGTAAACTCGAAACACCGGCTGTGATTAAACAGTTAAGTCCACCCTGCGTAAAATCATGGTTCGCCCCCTTAACGTCTCGAGACGGTAATAAACGCGTTTATCTTCTTTATTTCTGCGTTTCTTTTTACCCTTTATCCTCGCCGTGGCACGCCGCGACTGCGAAGAGGTCGCATGGTTCGTGTCACGAAATGATAAGCATCGCAGCCTGAAAAGCAGAGACTGACCCCTAAGTCCGATCGATACCGCCGTTGTAGAACGTCAAGACTTTCCTTCTGACCACTACCCCATCGGGGTTACCACTTCCTCGTCTGACTCATTTTCGGTTCCGTGAAAAAGATCTTCCACCTCAAACTTGAAGCAGCGACGTAACGTTGGGAATAAGTAATGCCGACTCCTTATTTAACGACCCTCTGTCTTTTCGAGTACTTTGGAAAATTCACTGCACGGAATGAGCAGATGCTATCAGCCGAGACAAATTTTTCAAGCGGGACCTAAGAACAGGTACGATCTTATCGATCACCGATGTGTTTCCCCGCGCGTCGGTGTTTCTTCAGCCACGGTGCACGTGGTCTCGTCTATTTTTCATTGCATCGAAATTGCATACGTAATTTTCCTCGCCGCGTAGAATAGCAGCATGAATCAATCCACGACGTTTTAACGCTTTAGGGAAGACCGTAACGGGTGGTGGTAAATTAATTCGAAACACTACTCATCGTGTGGATAATTCTTGGCGAATCAGGTCACCGGACAGGTGTGTGTGTGTCCGCGTGGCTGTGTGTAATTCGTTTACCGATAGCGAAGCCAGAAATTGTAATTACACCTTCTGTAAATCACTCTGATTTCTGCTGTTGAAGCAATCAAATTTTCTGCTGAATTAATGTGCTGAGGACGCGCGACTATTGTATGACCTCGTAC